CCCAGGCCCACTTGCTAACGTGATCTAAGTCAGTGTTGAGGTTACTAATACAATTATTAACGGATACAAAAGGGCAACTGACATATAGTTGAACATCATCTGCATATACATGAATATCACAATATTTTAACACACTTTGAAGATCGTTTACATATAACACAAACAATAGAGGACCGAGAGTCGAGCCTTGGGGAACGCCTTTAGTTACGGGTAAGCAGTTAGATATAATGTCACCGGCCCAAACAGCTTGTGAGCGATCATTGAGGTATCATTTTATTAAATTTAATGCTGTCGACGAGAAGTTAAACAAGTTGCTAAGTTTCAAGGCTAGAAGATCGTGATTAACAGTGTCGAAAGCTTTGGAATGATCCAGAAGTGTTAATAAAGTCACGCGATCGTTGTCAATGTTTAGTCTGATGTTGTATCAGTGTAGATTATTACCTCCTAGTCGAGGATACATTGGTGGCCAGACAAACGGCTGCCTCTTTTATAGCGGCCACCTAGGCTTGAAAGACGCTGCAGAGATTCGGCAGTCTGAACATAAGGTCTACTGAGAGTTCCTGACTGTACACACCTCCTCGAACTCTCCCGTCCAGCTTCGATCTGTCCGTGAATTAGTTTATCGAACCTCCACTCCAGAGACTATCACATTCGTCCCTTGGAGGGATGTGCGTGGAGAAGGATCATTTTGGGGCTAACTAACACTTTTGGTTTCTTATTATATGTAATTGAAATGCTTATTCAGGATCGTCAATGCGAGCTATACATAAATATGTACAGACATAATAAGAACTCCATTCTTCATCTCTCAGCCACTTCAACTTTATTATGACTCAAAATATTTATATTTTTCAAACATTCTTCTATTAATTTACATTTCACGCTAAATTAAACGTTTTCCACTGCACTCGAGCACAAAACCAGACACTTTGTGCATTGTGAACTAAAAGGTCACTAAGGGGTTAAAATAATTGAGGTGTATTTTTATTTAAGTTAGAACGATAGCAGGAATTTTCAAATTCAATTCTGTATAATTAAGTGAGTCCTTTGAAATTAAACAGTTCATCCTTACACCAAACCAAACCAAAGTTCGGCGGCAAGGACACCAGAAGCAGCAACTGCGGCAGTGGCAAAGGAAGTATGAGACCAACTAATGGCTTACAATTTGTTAAGTTTCGTAAAAGTTTTTGTCATTTAATTTCTCCTAACTTCGGGTACAGTTTGCTACGTCGAATTCATTTGCTTCGTTCCTGGGGGGGAGGGGGGTTAACCTTTTCCGCTTGCGTAGAAAAACTGTGTTCAAAGCAAATTCAATTCAACAACTTGCATATATACCGATAAAAAAAAAAATGTGTATTTCATTGTCGTTCGTTCGTCCGCACACTCCCCCCTCGTTCTCCATTTTATTCTGCTTGTAATTGTTGATAGTTTTTGCACAATATTGGTTGTGCAATTTGTAGTTTTTTTTTCTTTAAATTTTTTTGAATAATCATTGTTAGTTTTTTGCTACAAATTGATTCACTGATTAATTTGTGACATGATTCCAATTTCGAAACTACACAACACAACAACTACTCAGCTGCACAGCCAAGCATGTGGCAAGTGGCACATGTTTTATGTCGTTCTTCTGGTTGCTCAACTTGGTCTAGGCTAGGCAGGCGACTTGACTTGACTTGCCTTGGCTTGCTTCGTTGTGTTTGCAATACAAACAGAAATAGCAACAATACAAATAACCTTCATTATTAGTATGTACTACAATAACATGCCCGAATCTAAAGAAAGTAAGTAATCACTACAACTAAATCAGAAACAAATATTGCAAAAAGGCTGGCTGGCATTCAGGCAGGAAGGCAGAAGGAGTGCAGCTGCTGCTGAGGATTTTGTTTATTTGTAAATACGACAAATGCGACTATTAATAGCAGCAACTTTGCCAACTATAATGACAATTGATTTTCCTTAATTTTTCTTGTAGTTTTGGCTGTTTTGTTTCTGCTTTAGCCTTTTATTTTTTTTGTTGTCCTCTGATTCCTTTTACAAAGCTATTCTTCCAAAAATGTACTCACTTTTTAGACAAGCACACAATAATATTGCTCACTAATATTTGGAATTGTAAAAAAAAAATCAATGGTTTCACCTCTTTTGCAGCAGCACTTTGATAGACTTGTCAGGAAATAATAAAAATTTAACTTTTCGATTATTTAACAGCAAATTTTGAGTAAAAGTAAAATTAGTAAGAAACTTTATTAAACTAAAAATTTAATTTATAGGCAGATAGTCCTATGACTTTTTGGGTGAGCTAGCCGTTCGGGCGGGGTCGTTGTAGCCGATACAACAACTACATACAAGGATATGCTCAGCGTCGTGTTTCTTGTTGTCAGTTATGGATTAGTTAAAGTTTGATGGTACGTTTTCATACATTATTTCCACATTATGTAGTGGTCGACTACATTATGTGAAATGGATCTTTGAACATATTCAGATGGCTTCAATGTAGCCATTATCGCAAAAATTTTGTTTCAAAAAAAGTAAGCCGAGCATCTACATATACCCCGCGTCATAAATATCAGCGCAACACAAATTGACAAGTTTGAACAACCCATCTTATTCCTACTCTGTCGGAAACACCAACATTGAAAATGAGTATTTCTTTTATTTAACTAATTTTGTTTACTTTATTATTTAACAAAAACCGTATACAGTGGTGGAAAAATAAATAGGGACATGACATTTTAACACATTTTTACTACTTTTCTCTTGTTTATTTACTATTTATTATTATTTTTTTTTATAAAAATATAGCTCATTATCTAACACAAACGATATAAATTCATATTTCAAACTTTGTGAAAAAATTATGAAAATTCTGTAAAATTGCATCTAAATTTCCAACGTTTTAATCAGATTTTTTTTTTTTAAATTTTAAGTTTTATAGCCGGTTAAATTTTAATATAATAAAGTGCAAACTTGAAGTTCCTAAAAAATCTCGTTGATTTTCTGTACTACAAATCTTGTTTCATTATTAATATTTGGTGGATTAAGGCAACGATACAATTCTTAAATTAAAATTTGTTTACTATGGTACATTCCGTGCCTATACGCTTAGCTGTTTTAGTATAGCTGCACTTTTCCGAAAGAATGTTTATTTCGGAAGGAGTTTTACTCATTATCAATGAACATTTTTCGTTTAACAGCATCCCGGGATAAAAAAAAAACTATTTAATCTTTCCCTTTCAAAATAATCTAAAGACGGTAAGGTTTCAAAAAAAAAACACAGTTTTAAATATCCGAGTGATATAATAGATGAATACATCTTAACCACCCTTTTACAAACTCATTTATATATACTTTACTCAAAACACCTCCAACATATATAACATATCTGCATACCAAATTTCAAGTTCATGTGCCTATGGTTCCCAATTCATGGCTGATTAAAGATTTCACGCCTATCGGAGGTGCCACGCCCCCTTGTAGGATCCCAATTTTTTATAGGCCCAACGTGTCAGGGCAATACTCTGTCAAAATTTTGTTCGATTCTGTCCGTCCTTTTAGGCTGCAACCAGGCACATACATACATACATAGTAGATGTGTATCTCGAGAACTACATGACCGATCTCAAGCCATATTGAAAGTTTATGAAATCGGACAAAAACCACGGGCTCCACCAATGTAACGGTAATCTCAAAAAACTCGAAACCCATTTAGCTATATTTTAGAAGGAGTCGGTTTTGTCCGATATCAAAAATATTGAAGACGGTACTGAAGGAGGCTAAGCACAGATATACGCATATATTATATAAGTGGGCGGTGCCACGCCCATTTTCATAAATTTGAAATTTCGGTACATACACACTTGTAAATTCAAGGCCGTATGCGATTGCAATAAATGAGATGTCAGTTTATTTGAAAATATACTAAATTTTAGATAGTACTCCAAATTTGGAAATTATAGAAATTATCGATGGTAAAAATTTCAAAAATTTAGAGAAATATGGGTCTTTTTTTAATTTACCTAATACAAACTCCCAACAAGCCTAGTCCGACAATAGACTATTATATACCATTTTTAAGGCCTATCTATCCTCTTCTCAGATCATAATCGATCTTTGAAATCGACTCAAAAATAGTTATTCAAAAACTCATAAATCTACAAAATCGTATTTTGTGGCTTAAATTGACAGGATGCGACCTCGAAATGGCCTTAAAAAAATCTATAAAAATACGCAATCATATTTCTTATAAAAACCAATAAAATTAATGTTCATATGTGTGTATGTATGTTAATGCACTTGTACAACAATAGGTAAAATGTCGAGGGTATTTCATTGTCTAAAAAGGCAAATGGGAGGCTCCATGCGAAAGTGAACCTCAGGCAAAAATCATTTTCTTTATAATTCTAACAAACGTGTGGATAAGACATTTGTAAAAATCTTGAATCAACCAAAAAATAACAAATTAAAGCTTGAAATGCATTTTTATAACCCTTTTTTACGTTTTGAAATCAAATTCTAAACATCGGGACGAAAAATAAATATTATTCTTTAAATTTTAACCAAAAAAATCAACAAGTTGTAATCGTCGCAAAACGGTTTTAACTATACTCTGTGTTCGAACGTCCTACTGTAATTTACAGTGTTTTCTATCTTTCGAGTTCAACCAATAAATATAAGATATAACAATTAATATTTGAGTTTTATTTTTTCGCTTAAATAAAATTATTATTTGATTTTTATTTTTTCTATCAAATATACATAATGATTATTTTACGGTTTATGTTTTTTCTCTCAAAGATAATAATTATTATTGTTACTTGCTAAGTGATTAGTAAAAAAACTTATATTTAAAAAAAAAAGTAAAATTTATTGCGTTTCAAAACAGGAAAAAATTCAAATGAAAGTTTTTCAACAGTTGACAAATTAAAAATTTTCTCAAAAGTTTTCTATGATTGAACATTGTAAAACAAGTAGAAAGTTCCACATTATTAATTTTTATTTTTTCACTTAAGAATAATGATGACTAAAAAAAACTCAAAGACGTGATTGCCCGCGTATCCGCTAAAGATTTAGCGACATCCTAGCAAAAGGAATAAGTCCCAAAATTTTGAGGTACAAATTTCAGTTGGTTGGGTCTGTATAGCCTTTTAAATTTTATAGCTCCAAACGAAATCTTTTCTGGCAACACTGCCGACCGGGCCGGGTCTCACTACAACTCACTCTACACTGAAAATTTTTTTTTAAGTAATTTACCTCAACGAGATTTGAAAATTATTTCAATATTTTTTTACATCTTTCAAATTCATAGATTTTTTTCCAATAAGTACAAATTCAAGTGAAAAAGATTAAAATTTATTAATTGTTGAAAAATTAAACGTATTTACCAAACAAAGAATTCATTTTATCTATCTAAATCTAAATTCGTGCGTCCCATCGCAAAAAATTGCTTGCAAAATAGGTTATCCAAAGATGGAGGTTGAGAAAAAGTTGTCGTTGCGCTCCACGTCGAAGACGAATTGCGTGTCGAAGACAGCATTTAACCAAACGAAAGCTGGTAAATGCCAACGTCCTAGCGGACCGCTTCATCGCAATCCATATTTGAATTTTCTACGCGAATTTCGTCAACGCAATTGTGGTCTCTCAGCTGTGGAAATCATACGACGCGGCGCTAAGGAATGGAATAATATGGCAAAAGAGAGCAAATTACGGTATATTGAAGAGGTTAGTATGGGAATTTTTTGCGCTGTCATGTGATGTTCAATCTCAAGTATTTACCTTAGGCTTTTTATGCACCAAAGAAAAGAAAACTACCGCTACCGCCGCCACAGAAGCAGCCGCAGCAGCAGTGGCAGCAGCAGCAGCAGTGGCAGCAGCAGCAGCAGCTGCAGCAGCAGCAGCAGCGGCAGCAGCAACAGCAGCAGCAATTGATAAAGCCGACACAAATGCGGGTGGTGTCATATGCGAAAGACTGCGGCCCTGTGTGCCCTAGGGCAAATGACGGTTGTAAAAAACGCCGCAAGAGACGAATGGCTAAATGTGGACGCAAAAGGCGACGACCGAGGCGCCGTTCTTGTCGAAGGAAGAAGAGGCGAAGTTGCAGAGTCTAGTGGTGGCGCATCTATTTGACAAATTTCGGGAAAATGAAAATATTTGCGATGAATTATTAGGAACTTATACATGTGTGGTTCGTGAAGAGTCTGCAGTACGCACTTTTTAAGGCGACTACTAATTGTAAAGTTTGTATATAAATAAAGGTTAAAATATGTACAGTGAGTCACTTAAGTAAGTATACAGCGTCCAATCCTTCTTTCATTGTTAAATAAGTTCAATAGTTATGCCAAAAATAAAAGAAAATTTATTCTTATTAATTTTACAAAAACATAAAATTAATGTGCTAAGAACAATATTTCATTTTATAAGAAAAAAAAAACAATAATGCAAGCTAAAGTAAAATTATCTAAAATTCACATCACAAAAGTAAGTATACAGGAGTATTGTAATTTAATAAAAATAATATTATTGCATTTAAAACACATTAATTAGTATTTTGTTGGGTAACCTTTGGAATTTATAATAGCATTAAGCCGTGATGGCATAGATTTAACCAGGTTTTGTGTGGTAGTGGGCGATATCTGGTACCATTCTTCCATTAGAACTTTTTTTAAGTCCTCCCTATTTCTTATATCATGCTTTCGTATTTGGCGTTCCAGATGCTCCCATAAATGTTCTATTGGGTTAACATCCGGTGACTGCGGTGGGGTTTTAAGTTGTTTTCGAACGTTATATAGGAGCCATTCCTTAACAATGAGTGCGGTATGTTTGGGGTCATTATCCTGCTGGAAGATGAATGACCCCTCAATACCCAATTTTATAGCACTTTCTTTCAAATTATTTTTAAGGATGTTTAAATAAGCATATCGGTCCATTATACCATCAATTATAACCAAATTACCTACTCCATTGGCCGCCATACATCCCCAAACCATTACGGAGCCCCCTCCATGCTTAACAGTACCGGTCATGTTGGACGGATTTAGCTCATTGTTGACTTTTCGCCAGACCTTTTCACGTCCATCCGACCCATGAATATTAAATTTGCTCTCGTCTGAGAAAATCACATTGTTCCAGAATATATGATCGTATCTTTGGTATTCTTTAGCAAAGGCGATCCGTTTTCGGCGATTTTCTTTGCTAACAAAGGGCTTTTTTCTAATATTTCGCCCGTGGTAACCTGCAGAATACAATACGCGGCGGATCGTTTGAGCATTACATTGTTTTCCCATTTCATTTTCAACTTCAGTTTTTATTTTTGGAGCACTTGTTTTAGGGTTTTCCTTTATTTTCCGAACGATTACACGGGTCTCATAGTCATTAAATATACGAGGACGGCCAGAACGTAGGTTGTTTTCAATAGTCCCTGATATTTTAAACTTATTTACTATTTTTTGAATTGTAGCATGGCTTTTACCAACAATTTTTCCAATCTCCCGCAAAGATTTATTCTCTTTATAATGTTTTATTATCACATTTTTAAGGTCATTTGAAAGTTCTTTTCCTCTTGGCGCCATTGCTGGAATATTAGTGTAAATATTATATGAACTGAATTTTTTCAGTATTGGTATTACTTACTTAGAAAATAACCGTATTACTTTTACAAAATTGATTTTATTTAACTCACGCGAATTCGATGCTCAACAAACAAACGTTCTCTGTATACTTACTTATGTGATACAATTTCTGCACATGCTCTTGAAAATTGTTTGCTGAGGATAACGGGACACAAATATCCCGTTATTTTGATGCGTACATGATGACGCATGCTACACTTTTAATATGTATTGTAAAAAATGCTGCTCGATTTTAAAATTGGGTTCAATTTTCAAATAATTTGAAACTTCCATTGAGGTGTATACTTACTTAAGTGACTCACTGTATGTATATTTTCTAGAAAATTTAGTTTCGATTTGGAGAGCATTTCTTGGTGAGAGTATTGATTTCTAAGTTTGGCAAACTGCAACGGTATTATGGAAGCAAAAAATAAATTTATTGGATGTATTAGGGTGTATTCGAGCAACAATTAATTCGGCAGTGTTATTTTTGGTGAAAGAGCAACATGTTCTACGCAAAAGTTTTGACGATTATCAGTCTGATCATGAATATTCGGCGAAAGATATCTTTTAATCAAATGGTTTACTTTATCATAAATGTGGGAAAACTGGTGATGAACGGTATTTCACATAGAACAAAATTTTGACAAGGCTGGTATTGTGACTTGCGAATCGAGCAATTTTCATTAAATGGCTTCGCATGTCACAATACCCGCCCCAATTCTAAAGTAAACAACTTTATTGCGCAATTTCTGCAGATTTTTAGTTGAGCACCAGCAGCTGAGGGTCAAGAAAGTGACAAGCAGAGGCGTAGCTATATGGTAGCAAGGCTGCCAAAATGCCACGGGCCCCCGAACCGAGAGAACCCCGGCCCAGGAGACTGCGAGATCAGTAATAATGTAAAATTTTGAACTACACTAAGCACTTATAAATAACTTATAACTTACTTACTAAGTTATAATTTTTTTAAGTACTTAAAATCAATTAAGGTGAGACACAACTAAGGACCATATGGTCAACATTTTTGTCGTTAACGTTTTTAACGTTACATGCTAAAGATAACGTCACACATATGGAAAACTTGGCGAATCCTGTAAAGTTAAGAATTAAACTATTTTATTATTTTAATAATGATAAAAGTTCGAAGAAACTAATTTTTTGTATTGAAACATTTTGGTCCAACATTCTCACCAACAGTCCACGTTCATGATTTTCAGTGACGCATTTGTCTTCTAATATTATGGTTTGGTGGTTGTCAGAAGTTATATTTCCATTGCCGTCTTAAATGACCTACCAAAAGTGTATGCGCATACAAAGAAACGTAATAGTTTCAGTGCATTTGAAAGGCGCCACGCCCCCTTTTTAAAGAGCCCCAATTTTCTCTAAGAGTATGGGATGAACACTTCCAGAGATATGCATTATGGCGATATACGAAAAAAATCGCATACCCATGCGGAAAAATTGTGGTTTTTGGAAAAGGGGGCGTGGCACCTCCCATACAAAGCGAATTCTTCATACTGCATATCGCGGAAAATGTTCATGCAAGAGGATTCGAACAAGGAAGAATAGGTAATTTTTGAAGCTGATAAAGTTAGACGTACGAAATTTGAGCATGTTATCGTGTTTATATAAGTCTTTAACATATAATGTTTCCAAAAACAAATATAGCGAAATTTCAAGGATAAAATTATCAATACTTACCAGTCTTTATGCACTAAAAAATTGAATCTAATTAAATTCTGCAGAATTTCCTCTTTAATTTGGTACCCATACTTCTGCTCTAAGCACATTTCACAGAATTTTTATATCATTTTGGAATTACTGACGTCATAGTGAAAAACTAAAAACGCAATATTACTAAATTTGGATTTTTGTTTGTAAAATTTACTATCGGGCAGTGTTATATGTATGTATAATGGCCAATACTGGTCAGGAAAAGGAGTTTCTATGATTGCCATCAGTGCAAATTACAAATCCCAAAAATCCTCGGATTATTTGCCAAGAATTCTAGCGAATCTAATTCTTCTAGGAAATCAAATAAAACAATTTTTACGAAATTTTGTTGTTTTTTTTTTTTAAATATTGCACATTTTAATTCAGTTTCACTCGATTGGTACTTTTGCACAGATTGGTACATGTTGGTACAAAATGAAAAAAAATAAATAAAAAAATGGGACTATAATTTTTTTGTAGTCACACGAATGGTACAATACAGCAAACTTCTATGAAGAGATAAATATTAAAAAGGCAAAACAAGCCGAAAAGGCAAAATTAAAATTTAAATTTTTAATCAAGGAATACATGAAACATGTGATTCTTTAGTTTGTTTACAGATACGACTAAGCAGACAAAATAGGCAACCCTGGTAATAAACAAATCGCTCCCATTTTGTCAAACGACGGAACACAAATTTCGGCGAATTACCGCCATTAATTTAAATTAAAATTTCCACAATTGTGTTCTCATAAGTCCTGATTCCAGCGGAAATATACCATATAAGTTTTTTAGATTATAATTTTTTTTGCTGACAAAAAAAAAATTAACAGAAATGTCCGAACGCTAGAAATCCTATCCATATGGTATCACAACGCCGCTATGTATTTTTGGCTTATGTGAGGGAATGGCTCTGCTTTCGAGTTGATTCAAGCTAAACTAAGTATTTTTTCTTTACAAATACTTTTTGCTTTTCAACACTTATTTTGCATTGGCTAAGGTAAAAGCACATTTGCTAGTTTGAAAACTAAACCAATTTTCGCTCCAGTACAGTATTTTTTAATGAGTGTTAGAAATATATAAATTTTACGTAAAAAATAATTAGGCCAAATATCTAAAAAAAAACGAGTCTTGTATGTATATATTTGTAATTTAGTGATGCAAGCAGATTTCCATGTCCTTCGTTGGAAAATCTGTTTGCAACAAACCTTCAACTCAACGACACAGCACAAATAGTTTAATTTATTGCGTTGCGAAAATTTTCCACTTTTCAATTACACCCATTAAACATCATTATTTTATATGAACCCTTCATAACTTATTAGGTAATGAAATATGACAAGTGCCAGAGGGAAGAAGTAGTTATGCGCGCAAATAGAAGCATACGCACAGGCGCTTAAACTACTTTACGCATGCATACGGCTACGTATGTATGTAGTCGATGCATAAGAGTGTATGAGTGTGCTTCCAAGTACGAATGCACGCCACACTGAGACAGATATCGTACACAGCAAAGAGCTTGCTGCAAATGAAGTTTGAGAATGTAAATTACCAGCTCATCGCATATTTCACTAAATTGTCATAAATTATATGCAACCAGAAGCAGCCACCAAAACTTGTGAGAAAACTTGTAATTTTGTGTGCAGAGAAACCACCCAATGCCGCTAAATAGCAAATGTTTATACATAGACCAAGAAAAAAAAAACCTTGCATTGCATCTAAGTCTATGAATGGTGTGAATTTTTCGAAAAAAAAAATATATATGTATAGAAAACATATTTCCAAGGCTCAAAAGTTCGCACACGCTTCGCGCTGTACTTATGAACATAAAGCTTTCACAAATTTTTGCATAATATTTCTTGGCTTGAGAAAATTATCAGTACCGAAAGCAGTTGGTCTGCAGTGTGAAATGTATATTTTATCTACTTAATTGCT